ACTAACTTTAGCATCGGAGTCTCTTTTGCAGGTACCACCCCCATCTTGGAGCATCAACGTACCAGTGAAGGAGGCTCACCGATCTTACCTGGCGGATCAGCTCTACAGCAGATTTCCGGTAAGAACATTTGGCGCCCACCGTGGGGCCGATCAAGACAGCTCTCATCGGCCACGCTTATGGTTTGCACCAGAAGCCATAGCAGACGCGCAATAGACGACGCAGATCATACAACTACCATGAATAGTGAAGCGGTAATGCGTACCGCTAATGAAGCCGACCTGGCAGCGCTACGCGCCGAGAATGAACGTATTCGCGCTAAACGACCTGCCACGCATCAGTCTCACGCGCCGACACACAAGGCGACCCATGAAGTCAGCAGCGCCCCCGCCCATGTCCCGGAGGATCAGGCAACCTTCCGCCGCCACCCTTTTGTGGATGGCATCGTGGAGACACCACTCCCTCATGGGTGGAAGCCTCTCCACCTCGATCGCTATGATGGCACGACGGAACACCCCGCTCTCCACGACCAAGTTCGAGGAAAAGAACAAGGACGAGACGGAGGTCAAAGTTCAGGAGCTCGCACAGACCAACCCTCTGGCTCTCAACCCAACCCCGGCGGAGCAGTACAAGCCGGGGTAAGCCAGGAAACAGGGCCAACTCCCCTACAGGGAGTGATCAATACAATCGCAGGTGGCTTCGTAGGAGGGGGCGCCAGCAGCTCGACCCGGAAGAAGCACCTGCGCAACATCAACCGCATACACTCTACCACCTCAGCTTCGCACCAGAGCTCACCGACGATTACTTTCACCGACGGCGGAGTCGATCTCAACCAAGATGATCCCATGGTTATAGCCTTAGCCAATTAGGAGGTTCACAAGACACTAATCGACCAAGGGAGCTCGACCGACATCCTGTATTGGCCAACGTTCCTCAGGTTAGATGTCCCCCACTCTCTCGTACAACCTCACACAGAGCCCTTAGTCGGTTTTGCAGGAAGGAGCGTTCTCACTCGGGGGCACATGGACCTACTAACAACTTTCGGAGCACCTCCGGATACAAGGCGGGTCATGGTTCGGTACCTCCTCATGGAAGCCGACAGTTCTTATAACATAATCATCGGGAGGCCGACCTTGAACCAACTCTGTGCAGTAGTGTTCACCCCACACCTCACCATGAAATTCCCAGGGCACGATGGGAAGATTATCTCCGTCAAGGCGAACCAGGAGACGACACGACAATGCTACACCGAAAGCCTGAAAATCGCCTCACTCGGTGAACAGCGCAAAAGCGACCCTCCCGCCGTGGCTCACGCCAGACACGAAGAAATCACCGATCTCGATCCAAGATCCGACTCTCATGACGAACGACCTAGCCCCGTTGACGAGCTCGATGATCTCTAGATCGAAAAACTCCCCGGGCAATGCACAAAAATCAGCAAATAGTTGACCCCAGAGTTGCGACAACAGCTCGAAGCGGAAATCCTAAAAAACGCTGACCTCTTTGCCTGGTCCAGCGCTGACATGCCAGGCATAGACGCCGATTTCATCTGCCACAGGCTAGCAATACACAAGGAGGCAAAACGGTCACCCAGAGGAAGAGGAAGGTCGGCGGCGAAAGGCGGGAGGCCATCATCACCGAAACGCAGAAACTGCTGAATGCTGGCTTCATCCGCGAGGTCAGGTACACCACATGGCTGGCGAACGTGGTCTTGGTAAAGAAGAACTCGGGGAAGTGGCGCATGTGCGTCGATTACACCGACTTGAACAAAGCATGCCCCAAGGACTCATACCCCTTGCCGAACATTGACAGGTTGGTCGACGGAGCCTCTGGGCACACCCTCCTCAGCTTCCTCGATGCCTACTTCAGGTACAACCAGATAATGATGTACCCACCTAACGAAGTGCACACGTCCTTCATTACCTACCACGCCAACTATTGCTACCGGGTGATGCCCTTCGGCCTCAAAAACGCGGACGCAACCTACCAGCGGCTGATGGATAAGGTCTTCCACCAACAGATCGGGAGGAACATGGAAGTCTACGTCGATGACATGGTAGTCAAGACCACCTCGGCGACAGACCACGCTGCCGACCTCGCCGAAGTATTCACCCAGGTCAGAAAGCCCAACATGCGCCTCAACCCGGAGAAATGTGTCTTCGGCGTCCAAGGAGGCAAATTCCTCGATTTCATGATCACCAGCAGAGGGATCGAGGCCAATCCCGAGAAGTGTAAAGCGATCATCCAGATGTAGAGCCCACAAACGGTGAAAGAGGTCCAACGCCTAGCTGGACGATTGGTCTCATTATCCCGCTTCATTCCCAAACTCGCGGAGAAGGCAGGACCCATTTTCACCCTACTGCGAAAGCCCAAAGACTTCCAGTGGATGGATCAGTGCGAATAAGCTTTCCGAAGCTTCAAAAACTTCACTAACTTTAGCATCGGAGTCTCTTTTGCAGGTACCACCCCCATCTTGGAGCATCAACGTACCAGTGAAGGAGGCTCACCGATCTTACCTGGCGGATCAGCTCTACAGCAGATTTCCGGTAAGAACATTTGGCGCCCACCGTGGGGCCGATCAAGACAGCTCTCATCGGCCACGCTTATGGTTTGCACCAGAAGCCATAGCAGACGCGCAATAGACGACGCAGATCATACAACTACCATGAATAGTGAAGCGGTAATGCGTACCGCTAATGAAGCCGACCTGGCAGCGCTACGCGCCGAGAATGAACGTATTCGCATTCTTAATTTTTAAAGAAGTAATACATGGGAAAACAACATTGCATATGCGAGTAAGATATTTTGGGCACGAATAAGGCAAATTTTGAGAGGCACATGATATTTTGGACATTGATGAGAGTAGAAAGTGACGGATGGTACATAAGACATGAACCACAAATTAAAAGGGGGGACTCTTAGTAGACATTTAATGGGAAAGGCACATGGATGAGACTTTATAGTTGATGATTATTTAACGAAATTGATTAGTCCTATTTAATACATGTGGTAACACTACGCATTTAGTTTTTTTATATGAATTATTTTTATAATGAATTTAAAAATTAATTTATTATTTTAAATTTTATTTTACATGTGGATTAAGATTGCTAAAATAGTCTTTTTATAATAAATTAAAAATATTGGAGATTGTTTCATCAATCCAAATCAACCTCTCATATCCTTAATGTAGATTAATAAACATTCGACAAATACTAACCCTTTGTGGTTAGGATAGAAAGTAGTGTCACTAACAATGTTTGAAGACTGAATCTAGTTGTTTGGATTTGAAATTCATTTGATTTTGCTAGTAGATAGTGTTGGGCATTACTATGTTGTGTTTGTGTTTTGTCAAAACTTAGAGAAGATTGAGCCAAAAATTGTGTGTTCTCTTGTTGGAGAATTCTCATATAAATACAAAGTAATTACAATCTGTCAAGCTGATTTTCAGCCCACTAAATAAGCTAAACTGCCATATATACATTTACTACAACTAGTTATCCTAATTAAGAGAATAATCGTTACAAATAAATGTATAATTGCATATCTTTTGCCATTCATTCTGTTGACATC